TAGGCATCGTTCCGGTAAGCTACCAGCCGGCTACTAGGCAAAAAGAAAAATTATTATGTTTTACGCTACGAAATGAGATCGTGGGTGGAGGGGGAGGCTAAAAGGGATGGAGAGGGACAAAGAAACTCACAGCAGGAACGCCACTGAGGTCGGCTCCTTGCCATGTCAGCAAGTGTATCCAGCCAAACGTGTTCACGGTCTTTTGGACCCCAACCAGGGAGCCGTGATGCTCCAACCGAGGCCAGCTCCGAAGTGAAGGCTTTCATTCCTCTGGACCAAGACATCGCTTGGACATCCCTCCTCTTCTTCCATCCACATCCCCGGTGAGCAAACAACGCACGGCGTGGAAGTCGATGGGCTGGCATACGCAATACGTGGCCCAGCCATCGGAGCCTGGTGAGTGAAATGACGGCGCTGAGCGGTTCCTTTTCCCGGGCCATAAACAAGGCGTCGAACACACTCATTACTCACGCGGTGTTCCAACCAGATGTGAGCCAAACTGCGAAGGCACCGATGATCGAACGTAACTAGCCTCTTCATGTCCACCGATCTTAGGGGCCAGGTTTTGCAACAGTACAGTAGGGTCGAACGTACCGCTGCATTGTACACTCTACCCTTCAGGGCGAGAGTAATGTCGCGCCGACGCCATAAGTGGCGAAGGTTAGCAAAAGCACTTCGAACTTTGATATACGGTCGTGATTTCGTCTTTGATCCCAAGGGCGCTGATATAACTTCCGAGGTAGTTGAATTTTTGAACGATTTCTAGCTGATCCCCACCAAGGGTCAGCGCAGGAGCCGATCCCTGCCAATCTTGGAGAAATCCTTCGCACTTCGATGGTGTAAAGCAAAGCCCGAAGTGAAGGATACTAAGTGCTAATCTGTCCAGCGAGGCTTGGCACGTCTGGGAGCTGTCACAGATTAGGGCAGTATCGTCTGCATACTCCAAGTCAAGAAGTCGTCCTCCTGGGAGTAGATCCACACCTTCTAAGTCATGTCCTGTAAATGTAATCTCCATGACTTCGTCAATAGCGAAGTTGAAGAGGAAAGGTGACAGCGGGCATCCTTGTCTCACACCGCTGGAGATATTGAAGGGTAGCGACAGCTTGCCGTTAGCCTTCACCCTGCCCGAGCTACGCGCATATAATGCTCGGATAATATTTACATATTTCTCGGGCCCACCTTTCCTGAGTAGACAATTGCAAAGGGCACATCGATCAACCGAATCGAAGGCACCTTTGATGTCGAGGAACACGACTACGGTGGGCCGCCAATATCTGTGACAGTGCTCCAACAACTGACGCAAGATGAAGATGTGGTCGATGCAGCCACGACCACGACGACACCCGGCTTGCTCCTCACAAATCTGGCTTTCATGAGCGCCAGTCAATCTGTGAAGAAGTATGGAGGCGATGGAGATCAGACTGATTCCTCTGTGGTTGCCGCATTCCGAGCGCGAGCCTCCTTTGAAGATGGGAACAATAACGGAGCTGCTCCAGTCGATTGGGACAGTCTCCTGCTCCCACGGTTTCACTAGTAATTCATGTAAAGCATCAACAAGAGTAGAGCCTTCGAATTTGAAGAGGGCTGGAGGAAGATCATCTGGTCCCGCTGCTTTATTTAACTTCAATAGTCCGATCTCACGTTCGACTTCTGAGCTAGAGGGTGGATCCAAAGGGACAGCCCACGGAGCAGGGCGATCACTGGCCGGCGAAGAATCGAACAATTCTAGCCGATTAAATTGCTTTTCAAAATGCTCAGCCCAACGTTCCAAACGTTTTGACAAATTGTGGATAGGCTGTCCACTCTCGTCACAAAGTGTTTCACTAACACCAGGTCTCCTGCTGCCCGTTTCCCGTATCAGGCGGAATAACATACGATGGGTGCCAAGAGCAGCGTCCACTATTATCTCTGAAACACGATGAGACCACCAAGATTCGCGGTCTCTCTTCAGGCTAGCACGAAGTTTTGCCCGGAGCTCTTTGCGAGTTTCAATGTGCTCGCTTCCAGCCGGGATATGCCTGTGAGTGTCAATAAGTTCCACAGACTGAGAAGAGACCCAATATCCATGTTGGCTATCAGGCATACCACATGAGGATTTGCCTGCTGCTAGTAAGGTCTGACGAACATGTGACCAGTGACCATCAATCGTCTCCAGTGAGTGTTTACTCAACTCGCATGTCAGCGTACTTCGATACGCATTCAGAACAGCTGGCTTTCAGTTGGCTGGTGTCAATGCGCTCACAGCTTCGTTGTGGGCGTCCGCCAAAACGCATCCGCATGTCAGCACATACAAGTGTATGATCGGTGTCCACACATGTGTTCCAAATCGAGCGACAATCCTGGATGCCCCCTCTCCAGCGGTAACTGATAGCAATGTGATCGATCTGCGTCCAAGGCTGGTGGGCACCAAGTCACCCTCCGGCGGGTGCTGTGTCGGAAGTTAGTGCTCGCAAGAAATAAGAGGGCATCTTCACACAAATGAAGTAACCGCTCACTGTTATCAGTACGGGAGCCTACACCGTACTAATCGCCTAGATGCATTTCATCAGTGTACAACTTTCCAACTTGTGCTTTCAGATCCCCCGTTAGCACAACAGTGTCCGTGCCTCTTCTGGGGCGAAGGAGCTCATTCAGTTAGCGGTAGATGTGGTTCTTTACTGAATAATCGCTAGTTTGTGGGCGCGTAGGCAGCGATGATGAATAGACACCTATTAGTCCCGCGCGACTTCAAAGCTTTGAACGAGCCAGCCAATCGGACCGCACACATCCGGCTACTGATTGGAATCCAATCAACCAGAGCAGCTTCAGCCCGGGGACTCAGCGCAATGCCAACATCAGCTTGGCCAGTGCTCGAAGCTGCATCGTCACCGGATAGGCGCAATGAGCAAATACTGCTTGTGTCACCTGAAGGGGATCGCAGAGTGAGCACAGAGCTCGAGTCTTGCAGGCCGGTCTCTGATAAGCAGCAGATATCGATCGAGAGGGTCTCCAATGTTCGGGCAAGTGTTGCCTGTTGACCGATCTGTAGTAATGTGCGTACACTGAGGCATGCCAATGTGAAGGAGGATCGAGGGCTCCAAATGGAAGCCGATGAACTGGAATGGACCGCTTGGTTGGACATGGGCTTGTCGACAGGAGATGAGTGACCTACCGCGTTGGCATGAGTTGAAATTAGAAGATAAACGCCTAGCAAAGCATGTTAGGGGAGGGCCAAGAATCGGGGGGTTGAAAACTGGGAGATATAAGTAATGTTGGAACGGGACGGTAAGAGTGAAAAAGCGTAAGAGCGGGAATAAGAAGACGGGAAGGCTTGAGCAGTAGCATCCAACCCCCTATCCACCCTGCTCGATGTACCAGATAGGGCACCGTTGATTATCCTCTGCGGTGGCCAGAGCATCAAGAAATTGTTTGAAGAGAAATTCATAGCTGAACGGAATCTGTGGACGCTGGTGTAGGAGTCGACGCGGCCTACCTAGGTACTTCAAAGGCATTCGACCGTCTAGACCATCGCATTCTACTGCACAAGCTTCAGAAATATGTAATCGGAGATCCCGTTCTGGGCTGATAGGAGACTTACACGTTCAAGCCACCTGAATGTGAAGATTCAGAGCATCCTATCGGAAGCAAGCGAAGTTCAGTGCGGCGTACCTCAGGGCTCGGTACTCGGACCCGCCTGTTCCTGGGATTCATAAATGACCTCGTGAGCATGCTATGTTCAAACTGTCTGCCATTTGCTGATGATCTAAAGATATGGCGTGCTACAGCTACACTGGAGGACCATACAGCGTTACAGGATGAACTGGACAAGGCGTGCACATGGTCCATTGAAAACATGCTACATTTCAAGGTCACGAAGTGCAAAGGTCTGAGCATACGGCATCAGAGTATTCACAACTACCATCTACGACCACAAATACTACAGCGGGCTTCTCATGAGTGCGATCTCGGCGTGCTTGTTCAAGATGAGCTCGGTTGTTTGATGCAGATTGAAAAGGCATCTAAGAAAGCAAAAAAAGCACCTGGGCCTTCTTCGTAGAGCGTTCAGAGAGATTGACACCTCAGTCTTTCCGAAAATGCTTGGTGCGTACGTAAGGACGCACGCGGAATACGCTATGTAAGCGTGGCAACGCTGGCTGGAGCACCACCTCACCGCGCTCGATACTGCACAACGCAGGGTGACAAAGAACGTCAGAGGTTCGTCTCGCCTCACCCATCCACTCAAGCTGAAAACCCTCAAAATATACAGCGGACGTTATCAATGTTTAAGGGGTAATCTCATAATGGTGTACCAGATGCTGAGAAACCCTAATCACACATGCCATTCCCTTTTGATACACAGTCAACACATGTATCCAAGGGGTCATCAGTTTAAGCTGATCACGCAGTACAGCCGACCGGAATGTCAACGAAACTTTTTCTCCCTCCGAGTGTCACAGGCATGGAACATGTAATTAATGTTCCCACATTGTCTCTCTTTAAAAAACGCCTTGACGATACTCTGATACATGTACACTACGTCATATAGCCTATGACCAGCAGATGCTGGCATTAATGCATAAAATACAGTAGACGATGTCATAACCCTACTCGCGCATGAGTTACTCCAAACTCCTTGGTGAGTCTTGTATTTCACGCATTCCTTTACCGGCACTGCATTTTTATTTTGTAATTATCACCCTAACTATCCTACGGGACATGTCAAGCATTCACTTTTATACTCATCATGAACCATTGCTCCATTGCAGTCAAACAGTCGGCATCTTAATGTGCTCAGTGCCAGTGGCCAGGTCCCCGATCCATGCAGAAACATTGGTTGCATTACAGAAATGCGAGTCCTTCATTTAATCTCTGAGCATATGTCCCGCAATTTTCACAAGTAGTGTATGTTTAGGGGAGCCACGTAAATCTTGTCGGTGCATACGGTGAGAACAGAACAGAAGTGTGCATCAAAACGGGAAACAAGATGAATGAAATAAGGCGAAATATGCGGATATAAGCACCTGGCTAAGTTGTGTCACGATGGCCAAGTCGGGGGGCTTCATGCAGGCACCCATGAAGAGGACGAGATTTTCATGGCGAGTTTTGTGCAACAAAGCGACCTCGCGTTTAAATGCTTCCAGCCGACAGGAACCGTCCAAATCCTCAGGATCCAAATCAATGCGTTTCACTGCAACCTCCCCATGCCATTTTGCCTGGTAAACTGTGCCAAAAGTCCCGTGGCCGATAACATCGCCGAAGATGAGATTCTCCATTGGAATGTCCCACTCCTTCAATGTGACGGAAATCTGCGGACAAACAAGTTGAGGCAAGAGATGTATGGTGTGAGCTATGGCTTGAAACAGGATATAGAAAAAACGGATAAAAATAAAAAATGAACCCAAGGTACGCAGCGTTAAACCCAGCTAGTTTGGTTTCAATTTACTCAGGCCGGTGCTTGCGGAGTAGTGCTCACAGCTGGTGGGAACAAGGAGTCAGCAATGCTGGTTTTTGGCAAGAAGCTCTTCTGGTGCTTTACTCAATTGATTGTTGAATCCAAAACCACTTACACTGACTAGATCATGTTCTCCGCATACCTTCTAGTCGAACTGTCCGCTTAAAATGTGTTTGGTGCCGAGTTATCACGGGGCAATGACTGAGTATGACGCGGAGCAGTGAAAACCGCAAGGGCGATGCCGCCTTATACTTGCATGCTAGCCAGCAGCGACGGTGAGGTTGACAAAAAGTGTAGTCGCCCTGACGATGAATGTATGTTTAGGGCATTTAGGCTTCCGCTAGATCCCCTTTCTTATTGTTCTTCGTTCCTTAGATAATCGTTGTACGACAGCGAAACATCAATTCAGATGGCTGATGTGCTGCCAGTACCAGCAGATATTTTCGTCACCAATCTCGAGATTCAAGTCAGGGAAGAGGGTACACATGTGGATGACATTTTTTAGTCTGTGACAGCGCGTATCAGTCAACCCAACTGGTTATCAAGTTGAATGACCATCAAATTATGAGAGTGACAACGGAGCGCGAATAGCATGACATTCTTGACATCCTAATAGAGCGTAGGATTGAAGGTTTAATATATAAATCGGCTTACCGCAAGCTAACGCGCAAGGGAGAGTGCTTCAACTTCTACAGCTGTCCCCAGGCGGTACAAACAAGGTCTAGTGAAGACTTTGTTCAACAGGGCTAGGAAAATTATGCACTGCTGACACAGTGGAAAAGTGATGCGGTTGATAACCAGCAGTCTGGGAAATAATGGGCACCCATAGTCCTTCATCGCCCAGTTTAGTGCCGAGAAAGCGGAAGAAAGTGTGCCAACAGTACCGAAGCTGAAGATAATCGCGCATCTGCCATTAAAGAGAGACGACGTGCGCCAGGTATTTCAGCGCCAATTGGAATCCACAGCGGCGGAACCGGCACTAATGCACACAAGTAATAGTATTCCTACTACGTCCATTAAACCCCCGCTATCATTGTCCAGTCGTTGACACATCCTATACTACTTGACATGTATTTGCAAGGTCGAATACATGGGAATGACAAAACGACAATCGAGGGTGAGGGTCGCCGAGCAGATACCTGTGTGGGTTAGTAAACAAGTTTCGCAAATGACTGCGTCCACCACCCCGAATGCGCAGTCAATGAAGCGAAATGAAGTTCCATACAAAAAAACCAGTGTTAACAATCGTCCGCTACCTGTTGGCTGACAACTTCTGCGTAGACCCCGTGCATCCATCGCAAAAATACTGAACCTTAGCGTAGCGTAACGATTTGCGTACCTCCGTGACCCATTGAGTTTTGCTGTGTGGCACTTTCCAAGTGCTTCCAGAGCCTGTCTGATATGTCAAACAGGTAAACCGTTAGAGGTCTGCTTAATTAGTCTCATAATACACCCTCTACGGAGGTTAGGGAGAGGTCGATGGCCCTCTCCTTTAAAACCTAACCATGGGAGAAAACTGGTCTATGGGTTATAAGTTCATAGCTCGATTGGCGCAGAGCACGAGCGCCACGCATAGTCTCTGACGGTGGGATGGTCACCACCCGGTGCTCAGTGGTTTGTTACCGCCTGCATCAAACCCGACAGCCCCTGGTCAAATTAGTGTAAACCCGCCAACTTCTACCTGCGGCTCGTCGTGGTCCGAGGTATGTACCATAGTATGGTCATAAAACACATGTGAATTGTTCTAAATCTTTAAAGGCTGTGTGCGACATGCCTCAGACAGATCGCAGTGGGTCTCTGCAATCACACTCCCGAGCTGGACTTTCTCCGCAAAGCATTGTGGGTCAGGCTATTGAGTCAAAGGCTCAGGGTAGTGTCCCCCAAGCGAACCCCTGTGTACCTCATCGCCTCGTGGGTCAGACTGTTGGCTCAAAGCCTAGGGGCAGGGTATCTCGAACAAAACTTCTCTCTCGGAACGGGCAGCCGGAAAGTACCATCTACCCTCTCGACCACGTCGACAATACTCCCTCTCCTTAGTTTTCTTCCTGTTTTTCACTCTCCTATTCTCGTTCTATTGAGCAAGAGACTGCCACTGCCCTCGCAGCTGCTACCATCAATACATGCAGCTTTTCCATCAAACCTAGAGTTTCACTGCACATTGATTCCTTTTAACGTCCGCACTCTAGGTCAGATCGGCCAGCAGGCAGCGCTGACTCTCACTCTTCATTCTTGATATTGATGTGTGCTGTGCTTCCGAAGCATACATACAAACAACAGCGTTGTGACGAATCTTTTACTTCCTGGTTCTGAATCTGATGGCGATGGTTACTTTCCTCGGATCTCTGGTGATACTTAATCACTGGCTCAATGTGTTTACGATGTTGATATTACGTACAGCAAACATGCTGAAGACAATCTGCTCGATAGGATACCGGCGAACAACCGCATGTGCGCGGTTCCACTTCAATCTACCATTGGAGTTACTAAGCCCAGTATGAAGACAAGGTGCCTTTTCATCGCCTCAGTTTATGTCCCTACTGAATGCAGTTCAGAGGGTATCAAAGACGATTTCTATCAACTGTCCTCATCTCTTCTTCGCATGGCGAAGAACACCGACATCGTGATTGCTACTGGTGACAGGAATGCCCAAGTGGGTCGTCTTTCAGACTATGAACAACATTTGGGACGCTGCTTCGGTGTCGACGCACGTTGAACAGACAGTGGTGATCGATTCTTGCAAAGGTGCGCCGAGTACAACCTTTAGCTTAGCAGCACCGCTTTCTAGCACAAAGGTTCAAATCGCGTCACCTGGTACCAAACGAATTCCTTAAAGACCTGGACCCTAATTGACTACACTGCCATCACCTAGAGTTGGCACGCATCAGTCTAAGACTGTCGGTCAATCTGGAGCAAGTGCCTGGATTCCGACCGTGCTCTAGGACGTTCAAAAGAACGCCTACTTCTACCCGTCTTACTTGTAACTTGAACGCACAGTCTGCAGTTCAACAACATCATAACGAACTGGCCAAACAATTTCTCAGTAATGAATGAAATAGGTGAGCCGAACGCCGACTGGAATTGTCTTCAGGGTGCCATGAAGAATGCCTTTGACGCCTGCTGTGCATCCAATATGAGACGTTGTAACTGTGTATTGAACTCTGATTCATCGATCAGCTTGACCGAAGCGGGTAAACAGGTTAAATGGTGCACCTTTTCGCAGGCTGACAAAGGGGAAATATTTCGACAAATACATTGCAACTCGTTGTGGTGGTGCTTCAATACCATGCAATCTCAAGACGTTGTACTCCGGCTCAGATCCCGATAGGGCATCCAAACCCACAAGGGAGCAGATATTCGAATCTGGGATGTAGACCTTGTCAGCGGGTTACTATATACTGTGCGAAGAATGAGATTCTGGCTTGCAAATCTTTCTGTTCACTCCTATTCTTCCTTTTGGTCGCAGAGAAGTGTGAAAAGTTACATCACCATCATTGTACACGCTAGCTAGAGGTAGTAAACACCTCAGCTATTGTGCTGCAATACAAACCAGTTGAATGGCAGCAAAAATGAATGAGTAAGGGAAACAACAAATGCAAAACATTTTTGGAGTACACATTGTGTGATTGGATTAGGACGCGCAATCTCAGTGTAGACCACGATTCACATTGAAGTGAATCTTGGTCAGTGCGATCACTGGGACCTTAGCCGAAGCAGATGAAAATTGGGTGTTGCCCGTCCGAAAACGCTGCACAACGACGACGTGTCGATATCATTTTATCTCATCAGGTGGAGATAGCAGGCATCGAACCCGCAACCATTGGAATAGTAGCCGAAACCTCTACCCCTTTAGCTACCGTGTCACGACGGGCAACATTTGACACAACGGTTACTGACTAATTGGGGAGGGGGGCATTTTTAAGTACATGGTTTGTTCTTGGGTTGTGACTCGCAATCTCTGTGTAGACCGCGATTCACATTGCAATGAACCTTGGTCAATGCGATCACTGGGGCCATAGCCGAAGCAGATGGAAATTGAGTGTCGCCCGCCCGAAAACGAACATTTGTGTTACGCATCGAGGCTGAGATAGCGGTTGGAGGAGGAAACGAAGCGGGAGTGGACGGACAAATAAACGCACAACACAACGACGTCCATATCGGTTCTGCACCAATTCAACAAATGTATCCATCCAAACAAGCGTGTTCACCGTCTTTCCGACATCAACCATGGAGTCGAGAAGCTCTAACCGAGGTGAACTTCGCAGCGAGGCATTTCATTCCACACTAGAAAGTTATCGATTGACCACCCCACCTCTTCTATCCACACACCAGTCGCGCAAACAATGCTCGTCGCGGGAGTCAGTGTACCAGCATGCGCTACACGTGGCCCAACCATCGGAGCCTGGTGCGTGAAAAAACGGCGTTGAGCGGTTTGCGCCCTCTCCTTATGTCATAAACAAGATGCCGAACACGCTCACTGCTCATGCGGTGCTTCCACTAGATGTGAGCTAGACTACGGGGGCACCAGTGGCAGAACGTGACTAACCTCTTTTTGTCTGTCGATCTGATGGGGCAGGTTTCACAACCGTACATGCGGGTTGAACGGACAGCTACATTGTAGACTGCACTCTTCAGAGAAAGGTGGACTTCGCCGCGGCGCCACAGGTAGAGAAGATTGGCGGATATACCTCGAGCTTTTGCAGTACGGTTTGTAGCATAATCTTTTATGCCACTTCCGAAAATCATCGAGGCATCAGTGTTGTTTCTTTGCATCTAAACACGTCACGGGTATCATTCTTCGACGACTTACTGGTCCCCATGAGAACCGAGTTACTGAAAGCCAGGCTGCCTTCCGTC